ATGCAGACTGGGTTATAAGGTACTTCTAATAAGCCTTTAAAGCCAGCAGTCAGATGGCAAGAATGGAGTAAAACATGTTTTTCTTTTCTGGTTTCTATTGTTTTCTTGGTTTGTGTTTCTCCACATGAGAAACCTGGGAGTAAGCAGGGGCAGTGAAGGAGGAATAGACCACCTAAAAGTGAGAGTGAAAGGAGATTAGAGCAGCTATGCTAAGAGAAATAATGAGAGGAGAAAGGAAAAGAAATAACTTTGAAATGGTATCTAGGACCAAATATTTATAACTCAAATTCCCTGCTGAATCCTTTTAATGACTGGAGGATAATCATCAACCAGAATAACCTGCTTTCCATTCCTCATAGCCCAGCATAATAATGGTCAGAGAGCATCAAGAAAACCAGATGGAAGGGACTTGCTCATTCTATGGCAGCACACATGCCCCATTTGGAGGCTAATTAAGAAAATAACAAATCCGGCCACACTGACTAAAAGAGCTCCTCACTGGGACTTGCAAATTTGGACATGTTTGCCCTACATCCAGTATATTGGAAGATAATTTCTCATTGTTGCTGCTTCCTTTTTCTCAATAATCTAATCACTCAAATCACAGCATGTAACATTCTTACTTGGTGTTGCCTCCTGCTTCCTTGAACGTCGTTGGGGACTTCTTACAGTTTCTTCAGTCTAGCTTTCCACCTTTCTCAGGAGAAATCCTCTGCTGCAATCAGCTTTTCTATTTTCATAATTCTTTGCTACTTCAAGTGTGGTTGATAGACCAGCAACATCAGCTTCAGCATCATCTGGGAGCTTGTTAGAAACACAGAATCCTGCCTTCACCTTAAACCTGCTGAATTAGTAACATAGTGCAATCACAGCTCATTGCAGCCTCGAACTCCTGGGCTCAAGCAATCCTCCCATTGTTTCTCTTAGCATGTATGCTCCAATCTCCTTTCACTCTCATAGCCCCTGCTTACTCCCAGGTATCTTCAGCTTGTGCATGGACCCGAGAGGACCCCCAGCTCTACGTTGTGACCTACCTTCAGCATCAGCTACAATTGCTGACAGCTTCTATATATATATATATTTGAATATGCATTTCGAATTGTTGAGAAGCGGAATTTGATTGGTATAGAATGCCTTGGAACACTGGCACATCCAGGACTTGGCTTTCATTATCCATGGATCCAGTCAATAATAATGGGGCAGGGGCAGGAGGTATTTGATGCCTAGAAAAATAAATATAGATGGCACAGACTGCTGCTTCAGAGGGCCTGCTGGTAAGACACTTGCCTTGGGAAGGAGTCTGTGGTGAGGCAAGCATTCTGTGGCTTGGTCCATTTTATTCATTTCCTTAATGAAGGTCATCTCTCCTCCACATGGAGGTGATTCAGTCATACCACAACTTTCAGGCAGGGCCAAGAAACATAGCATGTGCTTTTTGCTCTCTTGTTTCTCCATACTCGGGGGCCAGCCCCATAGGAACGTTAGACAGGGTCAGTCAAAGGAATCAGCTAACGCTAACCAAATTAACAAAACTGTTTAAACCAAACCACCACAGATTCTTTCTTGTACTTTTGAGATATCTTAATTTATTTTAATTCAATGTAAAAAGAAAAAAGAAGAATCCATCCAATATATCAGTACATGCATAGACTTTGGGTGCTACAAATACAGGATAAGGAATTTGGGTTTATCTTGGTAAAGGCCTGATGGACAGGGACAGGGAAGCCCTCTCTGCCATCCTTAGTCATTTTTGTACCCCCACTGGAAATGCTGCTCCCTCATTCCTAGGGCCTCAGAGTGTTTCAGAAGCACAAAGTCCATCTTCTTGGAGGTAATGGGTGTGCTCATGCATGTGCTTCTGTGTTCTGGGAGCAGGGAATGGAGGGATATTTGAGAAAGCAGACAAATGAGAGAACAAACTCAAGCCCCTACTCCAGAGACTCAACTCCTTCCTTCTTACTGTACTGTTTGTTCAGGGGGAAATATTCTTCTTCAGTGTTCCCCCCACACAGACTTTTAATGAGCACTGTTTTCACTTTTTATTTGCTGATCAATAAACTCAAGGGTAGGTCTTGTCTGTTCCCAGAGATAAAAGAACTGCATGCATAACTGGTTCCTATCCAGTTGAACAAGCGCTGGTTTCTCTTTGTTTTTCACAGTGTTTCTGAGAGATAAGAGGGAACCACCCAGACACGATGCATGACCAGGGGAAGTTTTAAAATAATATTTTATAAACTCATTCCCTATTCTGAGCTGTGGTTTAGGAATAGAAAGAAAGCGGGAGGTTACCACATACAGCATAAATTGATTTTTTCTGGGCTAAAAACAAGCAGGCAGACACACGCACAGGAAAATGTATGAATAAATGTTCAGCTGAGGAAATAAGCCAATTTTCATCTGTAGGCACCAAAGTCAAATAGTAAAAATTTTAGTAATTTAAATGAGACATCCCTGATAATTCAGTGACCATTTTCTACCACAACAACTGCCTCTGTCATATGGATTCAAAATAAATATCGAACAGTCAGGACTTAAGTAGAAGTGAAGAGCAAGATATATTCCCAGAAGAATATGGGATGGATTCGGGACAGAGTCCTATTAAGTGCATGCCCTTCAAGGCTCTTGGCAGATTTCTCAGAGAAAGCCAGGATGGAGGGGTTGATTTGAGACGAATGATGCAAGATTTAAGTAGCATAAGACTAAATGTAAGACCAACTGGTACTGATAAAGGCACAGAGAGGAAATGTTTTTAATAGCAAATGAAAATTCTGGTAGCAGTTTGAACGGGTGCAGAGCAGGAAATAATTTATGAGAAATTTGCTATTAAACTAAGGAAAGAGTTGGGGCTGATATGGCAGGACATAGGATAGTGGGGATGCATAGGAAGATAGAATCTTCGGGAATGTTAGGCAGGTAGGAGGCATCAACGCAAGAATCAAAGACTGTAGCTAATAAAAGGGAAATTTAGGTTGAAAGCCAAGACATAATTGTTCCTGAGCAACTAGATGAAGAAACAATTTTTTTCAAGGAGAAAGTAAAGTGTTAGTGAAACTGAGTGGTGTTCCATTGTCCATGTTAAACGTCTTGCACTACTGTTTCTTTCCATGTTTAGGTTCATGAACTCTAATTGTTGTATTGTAGATGCTTGTCTATATCTAGTAACTTCCCTATAGGGAAAAAATGTGTCTCATGCTTTCTAGAATTTTACCACAATACCTAGTGTAGGGTCTTCCTGGAATATTAGCTCCATAAATGTTAATTGGCAGAATTAATTAATGGGCAGTTTCCTCTTGAAGTAATTATTTTTCAGAAGTAAATGCTATATTTGAGGAAACCAAAACCTGAATTATATACCCTTGTAATGTTGGGTAAATCAGAGGAGCAAGTTATTACAAAGTATTAGAACCTTAATTCAAAAGGAATTGGTGCGACTACCAGATATTGGGTAGGTAAATTAGATGTGTGTCTTAGGAAGAGGCCAAAATCCAAAGGGACTTTTCCTTGATCCAAGATTTATTCAGGCTAAACTTTAGGTTACATTTTCTCTTCCTCTTCTCTTCTCTTCTCTTCTCTTCTCTTCTCTTCTCTTCTCTTCTCTTCTCTTCTCTTCTCTTCTCTTCTCTTCTCTTTTCTTCTCTTCTCTTCCCTCCTCTCCTCTTTATCACTCCCTCCCTCCCTTCTCCTTCTTCTCCTTTCCTTTCCTTTTTTTCCTTTTCCTTTCCTTTCTTCTTTCTTTCTGTTTATCTGACCAGTACTCTTCCTGTGCAGATGTGCCTTTGGAAAGATTGGTTTCATGAGGGCAGAAGGGGAAAGAGAAAATCAAGAAAAGAGGGAAGAGATAGAGGACTCTGTTTTTTATACCAGTTAACCTGGGACTTATTTACTCTCTCATCACTTACCAAGCGCCACCCCCCCGCCAGATTCTATTTTAGGCTCCAAGGATACCAAAATGATGAGGTGTCTCTGATGGTATGTGCTACACCAGAGTAAGTATCGTGGTGATATGAGAAGTGTGCCTAAGGGAGTATCTAATCTGCTTCAGGAAGGGCAGAAAACAGAACATATTACAAACCTGAGCAGAATTTATTTTCCCTATTTCAGTGAACATAGTTCTTTTTTTTTTTTAAGATGTGGGGTAGAATTCAGGATTAGGTATACAAGTGGTTATTATATAGATAAAGTTTGAGCCTCCCTTTGGCCCCCACTTCATCTGGTTTGAGATCAGATACCCTTATTGATGTTGTCCCCCACCTTCCCATGACAGTATCCTGCTACTGCCAATCCCTTTCTTATACTATTATGGTAAATGTTTAGGGTCTGCCTATGAGTAAGAGCATGTGGTACTCTGTTCTTTATTTCTGTAGTAGATCACTGAGTATTATAGACTCTAAATCCATCAAACATCTGCTGTTAAGTCCATATGTTTGTCCTTCTTTATGACTGTGTAATATCCTATCATGTATATGTACAACTTTTTAAAAATCCAATCCAGTTTCAATGGACAGCGTGGTTGGTTCCGTGTTTTTGCTATTGTGAATAGTGCTGCAGTAAATATATGTGTGCAGATATCTTTTTTTGTATTTCTCCAGGTATATTCCCAGTAGGGGGATTGCTGGGTCATATGGAAGGTCAATTTCTAGTTCTTTTAGGAATCGCCACACTGTTTTCCATAGAGGTTGAACTAGTTTGCATTCCCACCAGCAGTGTAGAAGTGTTCTCTTTTCTCCACATCCTTGCCAGCATCTGTTGTTGCTTATTTTATTAATGATGGCCATTCTTACTGGGGTTAGGTGGTATCTCAATGTGGTTTTGATTTGCATTTCTCTGATGATTAGTGAGGCTGAGCACTTTTTCATGTGTCTGTTGGCTGCCCATATATTTTCTTTTGAGAAGTGTCTATTCATGTCTTTTGTCCACTTTTTAAAGGGGCAGTTTGTTTTTTCCCTTTCAGCACGTTTGAGTTCTTTGTAGATTCTGGATGTTAGGCCTTTGTCAGATATATAGTTGGCAAATATTTTTTCCCATACTTTGGGCTGCCTCTCTACTCTCTTGATGGTTTTTTGTTTTGTTTTGTTTTTTGCTTTGCAGAAGCTTTTCAGTTTAATGAGGTCCCATTTGTCTATCTTATCTCTTATAGCATGGATATCTGGGGTTTTGATCAGGAATTGGTTGCCAGTTCCAATTTCCATAAGGGTGTCTCCTGCATTTTCTAAGAGTCTTAGAGTTTGAGGTTTTACGTTTAGATCTTTGATCCATTTAGAGTTGATTTTTGTGTATGGTGATAGGTAGGGGTCTTGTTTCATTCTTCTGCACATGGTCAGCCAGTTTTCCCAGCATCATTTACTGAATAGGTTCTACTCTCCCCAGTGGTTGTTGTTTGAGACTTTGTCAAAGATGAGTTGGTTGAGAAATTGAGGATTTGAGTAGAATCTTAATAAATGCAATGATGTTTTGAAGGCTTGAGAATATTTAAATCTCTATAGTCATAAAACTGAATCTGAATAGACTGAATAAAATATGGAAGACAACAACTCATTGCATTTTAGCCATTCTCTATCCAGAGTCATTTTGACATTAGAAGTTACTTTGTCTTGACACTATTGGACTTTGGTTTCATTCAGAATGCAAATGGCTAGAGTGAGCCTGTCTTACAGTAGCTTGTCATAGAATCATGGCTTTATAAGCACAGTATTTATAAGCACTGTCTAAAGGACAGAAATTGAAGGCCTGTTTTTTGGGCCGATCTACACTGAATACTAGGAGTAACACCTTTGTTAAGCATGATGAGTTAGGACTATTACAGTATTTGTTCTTTTCTGAGCAAATTCATGTTCCTGTGACAAGGATTAATGATATAACAGTCATAAGGTAGTCTTTGCCTTTTATAACAGCTGATAACAGTAAAGGTGTGTCTTCCATCAAAATAGCAAAATTTCTAAAGAAGGTGAATTCATTTGACAACAGAGACTCAATGATATTAAATATTAATAAAAAATAAATTACGGTTGGCTAAGCTTATTTACATTTGGGAAAGGATTTCAGAAGTATGTTGTGAACTTTTAAAGTAAGAAAATTCTATGTCTGAGGACAAAAGAGATCCTACTTTGACTTCTGCTTCTTGATTTCCTTACTCAGGTGCTGACCCCAGCACAGATCAAATCAATTTGCCAGGCGATTCTGGATTCTGGGAAGCAGTATGCCATAAAGAAGAGGAAGCCATTCCCCCTAATGTATTCTTACTATGGAACTGAATACTTGGGTAAGTGAAGGTGTTGGCACAGACCTGTAGGATGGAAGGCGTCCCTAATTTTAACAGTGAGTAAAGACTGGAAGATTTCCTGTTTGCCTCAGGTCATTATTCTTTTAATAACACATACTTTTAAATGTTATTTAAAAACAGATATTGTTAGATATTACAAATCACGATTTAATATTTTTTATTATTTGTTTGTTACAAATGTAGTTATTTTAACAATTACTTTTACTAAAGACTGAAAACCTTGTTCCAGACTATAAGCTAATTTGCCTAATTTTGCTGAAAGATTGTGAACAATTTTCTTTTTTGAACTGGAGTCTCACTGTCGCCCAGACTGGAGTCCAGTGGCCACTCCCAGCCACCGCAGCCTTGACCTGCTGGGCTCTGGCGATCCTTCCGCCTCAGCCTTCCAACTAGCTGGAACTACAGGCATGCGCTACCACGCCTGGCTAATTTTTCTGATTTGATTTATCGTAGAGATGAGGTCTCGCCAAGTTGCCAAGGCGGGTCTCGAACCCGCAGGCTCAGGCAATCCACTCGCCTCAGCCTTCCAAAGCACGGGTTTACAGGCTGAGCCACCGAGCCCGGCTTCTTTTTTTAATTTTAAAGATGTGAGGTATACTTCAGGATTAAGTACATAAGTAGTCATTGCACAGGTGAAGTTTGTGCCTCCCACTGGTCCCCACTTTGCCTGGTTTGGAATCAGGTACCCTTATTGATGTTATGTGACCCCCTCCCTTGGCAGTGTCCGACTACTGCCAATCCCTTTCATGTAGTATTATGATAAATGATTGTGAATAATTTTCAAACTTATTGATTGCAAGTAGTGCCTCTGCATAGAAAAGCCGGATTCATCCACTAATATCTTAAAGTTGTTAATGGCAGTGGATTAATAACAGCCTACTGATTTGCAGTGGTTAATTTTGAGCTCTGAGATACATAAAAATTAAATTGGTTTCTCCTCTCTTGACTCCTTCAGTGGCTCACCATCACTCCTGAGCAAGATTTGCAAGGCTCTTTGTACGCCACCTGCCTGTTTCTCTAGACTTAAGCTTTATCTCTTCCTCCAGGTTTTACCCAGCATAGTCTCCCACGTGCTGTGTTCTCATATCTTTGTACCTTTGTGTACATTCCATTTGCCTAAAATTCTCCACTTCCCCCAACCCCCTTATTCACCTGTAATAATTATACCCAGAATTCAAGACTCTGCTCAAGCATCATCAGATCTGCTGAAAAAAATTCTGTGCTTGTGGAAAAAGCGTTGTTGAATCCTCTCTGAAGAAACAGAGGTTTCCCCTGAAGCAAAATTGGGTAATGTTATGTCGTCCTGTGCACACTTCTGTTGGAGTTTTTATCACACTGCACAATGTAATTAGTGACTTACCTGTCTAGTCACCTGAGCAGGCTTTATGCAGCTTCAGAATGGGAATTTCCATTCATTTATCTACATGGTCCCTAGACCCTTATCATAGAACCTACACATAATGAGGGAACCCAAGTGAATGAATGAGTGGATAATAAACAACTTTAATGACAGTTTTCTCAGAGAACCTTTCATTTTTTGTCTAAGTTTACCCAGAATCAGACCTCGAGACAAGGATTTGGGTAAAAGGTTTATTTGAAAGATAATCCCAGAAAGCGTTGATAGAGGAGTGAGAAAATATGACAAGAAAGAGAAAGAAGCGAATTGAGCATGTAATAATGAGCAACTGTGAGCAACTGAGGCTCAGTTCCACTTAGAGACCACATAGACCACATCTCAGAATTGTCTCACCCAAGGGTGAGTACTCATCTACCAACTCCCTGCTTTATTGATAGACAACTTCCACAAGTGTTAATCCCCTAGCAATTCAGCCCTGCTTCTGTGGGTGGGCACACTCCTGAGTCCAGAGAAAGCCTCAGGCAGAATGATAGGTGCTTGAGGTATGAAGGGGGTGGGTAGGTGCAACTGAATGGTGAGTATGGATGAGGTGATGAGCAAGGTACTAACAGTGTCTGTTATAGTTCCCTAATAAAGCTGTTCCAATCATTTTTCAGATTTTTAGAGAAATTAACATTCTGATCACTTACATATATAAGTCAAACCTGATTCTTATCTAATGCATAAACATTTTCCTGAAAAACAAGCTTTTTTCTAACAATTTCAAATTCAGTGGACAAGAGATACTTTCAAATGTCATGCCCTAATTTGAAGAGCAATAGAATTTTTGATTGGCTACTACTGTAAGGCTGTTTCTGCAGAGTCAAGAGTTCTGAGTATGGCAAAGTGAAAGGTGCCTGACTGCAACGAGAAAGCATTAAAGCTATGGAGTTGAGTTTAAAGATCAAGCCCTGAGAATGTATTACTCCAGTATCACCTACTTATCAGGATTCTACTAATTGAGAATGAGGGAAAAGTCTTAGAGGCACTTGACTGACTTTACCATTATTAAACTAACTCCTTTTTTAAAGACAAGCTTAGGCCTTTGATTGTTTAGTACCCTCTGCTGGAACTCTTATGAATTCTTTTAGACTCTACCCAGATGACACTGTCTGTTGGGAGCCTTCAGTGCCTCCTCCTCCCCTAAAGCCAAGTTGGGCTCTCCTTTCTCCATTCTCTTATATTAGTCCTTGTATTAGTCAGGGCTCTCTAGAAAAACTCTGTGTGTGTGTGTGTGTGTGTGTGTGTGTGTGTGTGTGTGTGTGTGTGTGTAATTTATTATGAGGAATTGGTTCACATGATTATGGAGGGTGAGAAAGCCAGATTCAGCAAAGCTAATGATGTAAGTTCCATTTTGAGTCTGACTCTGAAGGCAGGAGAAGACCAACATCCCAGCTCAAAGACAGTCAGGCAGAGAGAAATAATTCTTTCTTACTCAGTCTTTTTGCTTTATTCAGGCCTTCAATGAGGTCCACTCAAATTGGGGAGGGCAGTCTGCTTTATTCAGTTCACAGATTCAAATGTTATTTTTATCCAGAAACACCCTCACAGACACACCCAGAAGCAATGTTTAACCAGCTATCTGGACACCCCATAGCACATTCAAGTTGACATAAAATTAACCATCATACTCCTGATATACACCTCTCACAGAACACTTATCACCTCATGTTTTAGTTATTTATTTACAATCTGGCTGTCTCATTGGGCTGGATGGGGAAGTCTTAAAGGGTATGGACCAAATCATATTTATCTATGTGTATCCCTAGGGTTAGACAATGCTTAATAGGCAAGTGCTAAATAAGAAGGGTTAAATAAATTAGCACCAATAACTAGTGCTAATTTAACATTACAGAAGAGGAGATTTAGTCTGTTTTATTCCCTGATCTATCCTCTGTATCTAGAACAGTATCTGGTACATAGTAGGTGCTTAGTACTTATTGTTGAGTGAATGAATAAATGAATACATGTTTAGGATACTTAGACAAAATGATTTTCAAGTACTTTTGGAGCATTTTTGTAATATTTTAATTGCAAAGTTTTATTTTTTTTTAAACTCCTCTAAAGTGGGGATTGATCAGTAGACTTTTTCTTTTAAAGCACAGGACATTTAATATGTTAGGCATTGTTGAACCACATAGTCTTGGTCACAAAGAAACTCTGCTGTTCTGGCCCCAAAACAACCATAGACAATGTGCAAATAAATGTGTGTGACTGTGTTCCAATAAAACTTTATTTACAAAAACAATGAGCCAAATTTGGCCTGCAAACTGTAATTTGCCAAAAGCTTAGTTTTTAGGCACCTCAATTATTACATTACTATAAGTGCTTTCAGGTAGTATTATCATTGTTTTTATCTTGTGATTATCTTTTCTCTGACTCAACTGGATCTCCTTCCAATTTTGTGAGTTGATTATGCTTTGTTTGTCAATATAGGGGCAGCTCATGGCCTGTCATCCATTCTTCAGATGCTACTTTCTTACCATGAACACCTCAAGCCCTCAGATCGGGAGCTGGTGTGGCAGAGTGTGGACTTCCTCATGGAGCAGGAACAAAACTGCAACTGGCCTCCTGAGCTCGGCGAGACCATTGAGAGAGAGAATGAGCTGGTGCACTGGTGCCATGGTGCTCCAGGTCTGGCACTCTGCTATCTGAAAACATTGTCTTTCATCTAGCTTAGCCAGAGGGAGGTTTCTTTGCTGAGATGTGAGGGCATTTTTAACTTATATCATCACCATGTGAGATTAAAAAAAAAAAAAGATAAAATTTTTCAAAGCCAAAAGCGTCTTGACTGGAAAAAGACTTCTGGAAGTGATCCTGTGTTTTTTTTAAAAAGAAAATATACATATGATCTTTATCAGTTTGTTTATAAAGTTAAACTAACACTAATATAAATATAATATGAACCACATATGTAATTTACATTTTAGTAACTCCATTAAATAAGTAAAATCAGATGGAATTAATTTTAATATATATTATATAACACAGTATACTCCAAATATTATCATTTCAAGTGTATCTAATTTTAAAATTGAGATATTTTACACTTTAAATATGTTGAACCTTTGAAATCTAGTGTTTACTTTACACATACATTACATGTCAATTCAAACCAGCCACATTTCAAGTGCTTAATAGCAACATTGAACAGTGACAGTCTGGAACATGGCAATTCAAAATGTGGCTCCTGGACTAGGGCATGAGCAATTGAGAGATTAGTAGAAATCTAGAATCTTAAACCTCACCCCACACCCATTAAATAAAATCTATATTTGAACAGTATTCCTAGGTGACTTGTATGTACTTTAAAGTTTGGGATGTACTGTGAGGGCATTTTCAACTTCTCATTTTTCAGTTCTTCAAATGAGAATTTCCATCAGTACCAAATAAAAAGTCCAGGGACCTGAGAAGCCATCCCCAGTAAACTCTGGAATTGAGTCTACAAATTTATCAGACACTTTCTTCTTCTTTAAAATAATCCCATTACAATGGGAAGAGATTTCAAATACCAAAATAATACACAATTTTTGGATTCTGAGTGGATTTAAGGCTATGCTTTAATTCCATGAGCACAACTTTCAAATATACTTAATTTTTCTTCACTTTGATACCTGATTTTTTATTACCTTGTTTTCCCCTCAATTAGTGTTCTTTAATACAACTATCATTTTTTCTTGGTACAGTTTGAGTTGGTGCATAATATAAGTTGTAATCTATTGGCAATATTTTCTCTGCCTGCTACATTTAACTATGGAAGGAACTTCAAAGTGTATGCTTGTACTGGTGCCAGAGCATTGTGCATTATGTCCAGGCTAACCCCTGCCAGTTATGATTTGAGACCATTTTTTTGTTTTGTCCTGTTTTAGAAAACAACAAGAGTTATTTACCATCCTGGGAGTGATATTTCTTCTTGTTATGCTCAATTCTTCCAGTTCCCATTTCCTTTCATCATTCTCAGTAATGGTCTCTGGATATCTTCCAAGCATCCCAGCCAGGATCCTTGAATTTTGGAGATGGCCCAATTTATATACAAAATATCTTTAAAGGATTCAATGTGCTAGTAAAAGCCCTGAAAAGAGTGGAAAGATAATATACTAAAATGAGTGACTGGGTCAATTAATTGATGTGGGTGTTTTGAAGGGAGGTTATTCCATATTTTTTTGTATATCAGATACCATCTGTCTTTGTAAATCATGTACCGTAACAATGTGGCATAGGATTTATCACTTTGAGGGCTTTATTTATCCTTCTTTATCATTCATGTTCAGCATTTAGAGAAGATTAAACACAGGTTCCAAAGTGAAATTATACAATCCACATATTAACTGGACTACCAAAAATAAACCAATTCACAAATGAATAAAGAAAACTAAGTAGGGCCCATTATTTCTGCCCAATCCTCACCTCAAGAGTATTGGTCTTTCTTTGAAGAGATGTTCTAAAAACAACATCAAGAGTGATTATAAGTCTGATAAGTACAGGCCAAAGACTATTAAAATCATGCTGAAGTTGACAACAGTAACTTTCCAAAAATTCAAAGCAGGAAATGAACTAGAAAAATAATTTTCATTAGTTTAAGGAAAATACTTTTGAGAGTAGATTTCTGGATATTGCAGATGGTTTGGGGCAGCAGCCAAATTCTGTGATTTAAAACCTGCCAGAGATAATCCACCATGTGAAACTTTAGTTTTTACCTTGTCTCTCCTTATAATCGTTTCCTATTGACTTTCCTTTAACCCACAGCTATAGATGACAACCCTGGTTATCATTTATGCATGTAGAAGTAGTTCTTGACTCTAAATTAATAACTGTGGATTCAAATTGTAGCTCTAACACTAACCAATTCATTGACCTTGAGAAAGGGTCACTTTGATTCTTTTGTACCTTTGTCTCCTTATCTGTGAAATGAGCACATTGAAATTGAGTAGAGAAACTCAATCTTTTTATTTCCACAGACCCCTTTTATAATGTGGACCCTTGCCATTCCTGAGGAATGTATCCCCAAAGCTTTACAAACACTCACACTTATAAATACCTGGTGTGGTGTATAGCTTTTTCTCAATAAATGCAATGAAGTAGCACAGGAAGAGTCATATGACACCTTCATAGCCTTGATGATTCTGAGATGTAAGAACAAAGTCTTTTATAAAATTATTAAAACAAATTCTGTGACTAAAATAAACTCCTAACTATATTAGGTTACATCATTGCTGGGTAACACTGACAGCGTATTTCCTTAACTCTGCGTGAAATACAGGTGTGGGTGTTGTTTTAAAAAATTCATTTTGCAAAGGCTTTTTGGTAGGTGACTTTGAATAAAAAACAACAAAGCTTTTTCAGTGCAGGTGTCATTGGTCATTAAGTTTTGTCATGCACATCGTATAATGTGTGCCTCAGCAAAATTGCACAACCTAAAATGGATCTGGGTGGTAATTCCCCAGTATGCTGAAACTATATATGTCAAATTTCGCTATTACAAGGTTCTGCTGGATCCCATGTTTTCAAAGATTTAGCCTCTCAAACCATATTCACAAGTAATAATTATTTTCCCCAGTTGCATTTGGCAAAAACATATATCACTGCAGATTCTGGTTTCTTATTAATGCACAATGATTAATGTTCCTATGATGAAATGATATGGTTCCTATGAAAAGCAAAGAAACCCAACATTCCTTTCTTTTTTCTTATTTATTTATTTTTAGATTAAGCATCCTTATTAAGGATTCCATTAGGTTGCGTTAGGAGCCAACAGGTTTAGAAGTTTTTCAAGGTCCCTTCCATGTACCATTCTGTGTTTCAGGCTGCAGGAAAAGGACTGTTTACTATGGCCAGAACCAGAGGATCAATGCCTTTTAAACTGTCTGGGTATAGCCTGGTATAGCAAATATTCCATCCTCAGCCCTTCCTCCTTCCTCATCTCTCATCTTCCCCCCAGTATCGGCCCATACATGCTGATGCGTTATAGGGCCAACAGACATTTATGGAGCCCTTGGCATGTGCCAGACTCCATGCTACAGACTAAGGAAACACAAATGAACAAGATACTGTCTCTGCCCTTGGGTAATTTGCACTGTACTAGAGGAAGCAGCCATGGAAATAAATCTTTTTTTTTTTTTTGAAACCGGGATTTATTGAGAGGACAGAAAAGCTCCCACAGCCGGAGGGGACCCAAAGGGGTTGCCCACAACACATCATTTTAATTGGCTTCGGTATAAGTGCTAAGGATTGTATAGGGAGCAGTGGGAGCTCAGAAGGGGGATTCCTGTTACTGCCTTCAGGTTCAGAAAAGGCTTTCTGGGCTAGGCGCAATGGCTCATGCCTGTAATCCCAGCACTTTGGGAGGCTGTGGTGAAAGGATTGCCTGAGCCCAGGAGTTTAAGAACAGCCTGGATGACATGGCAAGACCTCGTCTCTACAGTAAGTCAAAATATTAGCAGGGCTTGCCGATGCATGCCTGTAGTCCCAAGTACTTGGGAGGCTGAGGCAAAAGGATGACTCGAGTTCAGCAGGTTGAGGCTGCAGTAACCATGATCGTGCCACGGTACTCTAGCCTGGGCTGCAGAGTGAGACTCCAATTCAAAAAAAAAGAATAAGGAAAGAGAAAGAGAAAAATAGGGAGGGAGGGAGGGAGAAAGAAAGGGCTTTCTGGAAGGTGATGCCTAAGGTAAGTTAGAGTCAGGCCAAGAGAGGCAGAAAGCTTGTTTCAAGAAGAGTGACCAACATGGGCAGTCAGAAGCATTGGTGCACTGTAGGTGGTTTGGTTTTGTTGAAATTAAAAGTTTCAACCAGGAAATGGGGGAGAAAAACCAAGAGAAGAGAAATGGAGCTGGGTCTCAAAGGGTTCTCTGTGTCATGCTAAGGCATCTGGGTAATAGGTAGCCATTTAGCAATTTAAGTGAGGGAGTGACTTGAACAGATTATAATACTAGAAAGGTAACTCACTCTACCACAGAAAGAATTTATGGTGTGGCAGTCCTGGGGGCAGGAGGCTAAAGCAGCCATCCAGGAAGGACACTTAGAGCCCGAGGGAGGCCAGCGAAAACAGGGCCTTCCCACACACCCTTCCTTCTCTTGTCTGGGATACCTACCGCTTCACCAAGTTCTTTGCCCAGGGTCTAGAAGCTGAGCCTGCTCTCAGAAGGAACCTTTAAAGAAGCAGAGAATCAGGATAGAGCAAAGGAGAAAAGCCAAAGAGGAGCATGTTTCACCTGGAGACTAGCTTCACTCTGACTCCGGGGGAAATCTAAGAGGCATAGATTAAACCAAGAGGCTGGTTCTGTCTTGAGGCAAGGAAGCTGGAATTTTTGTCAGTGACTTAACTGTTGGGGGGTGCATAACATTTGTCTGAGGCAAATCTCCCAAGAAAAGGGCAGCGGTAAACTTTGTTAGTAGCCAACTCTCACAGGGACTGAGAAATGAGGCACCTACTGAGAAGGTAAAGGGGATCTGGGCAGGGCACCAACCTGGCTAATTCCTCCTCATCCTCCAGTAATCAGGGTAGGTGGTATCACTCCTTCTATGAGGCCTTTCCAATCACTAAGTGTCAGTTAGGGACCATCCTGTGTGCTCCCATGATGTCTCTATTTTCCACACACATACCTTGAGTTAAGCTGTACACACTATGAAAGCAGAAGCATTTTAAAACCTTAGCACTGGCCAGGCGCGGTGGCTCACGCCTATAATCCCAGCACTTTGGGAGGCCGAGGTAAGAGAATTGCCTGAGCCCAAGGGTTCAAGACCAGTCTGGACAACTTGGTGAGACCTCATCTCTACAATAAATCAAAAAATTAGCCGGGCGCAGTGGCGCATGCCTGTAGTTCCAGCTACGTGGAAGGCTGAGGCAGAAGAATCACTTGAGCCCAGCAGGTTGGGGCTGTGGTGGCTGTGAGCATGCCACTGCACTCCAGCGTGGGTGACTCAAACAAACAAAAAACCTTAGCACCTACCACTATACCTGGCATATAGTAAATGTTCAATTAATGTATACAGAGTCACCAAGTCCTGTGAAATCTCTTTCATTAGCTTCCTTTGCATCTTTCTGCCAACATAATTAGCTTACAGCTACTGGGTTGCTCTTCTTTAGGTCTCTCCTGACACCACTGTGGGACATTTTGCCTATAATAATAGTCACATTGTTATACAAAAATAATAACTGGACAGTCCACAACAAAAACACTTCCACTGATTCCCTATTGCCCACAGAATATGATCTGAGCTTCCTGCCTAAAATTAGGGACTCATAAAACCATCCATAATTTTAGTGCCTTCCTGAGGGGCAGGAGTCATGTTTAGCTTTCTTTTGAAATCACCCAGGGCTGAAATTGACTACTTAATTTGGGAGGCCCAGTGCAAATTGAAAATATAAGTCCTTTTTAGAAAAATTATTAAGAACTGAAAGATGGCAACAGCAGAGCATTAAACCTAGCATGAGACCCTTATTAGGAGGATGGGTCGTGGGCCTGCACCAGTGGCATGCTCAGAAGGTGATCTTGCCTGCAGCCATTCATGCAGTAGATAATGATCACTTTCAAATAAGTGGATGTAGTAAATGAATAAATATGTGATTAAATAAATTCAGTTTTTAAAAAATCACCCTTCAGTGTGTGGAAGATATTTTGTTTCTAAAAGTGAAAGAGGAAAATGCTGTAGGTAACCATTGTCAGTCATCAACTGAAAAACATTGAGCAAAGAGTCTGTTGCTATGTATTAATCACAGGGCGTGTTAAAAGACACATTTTAAAAGAAGATGAAATCATGACTCTCATAGAAATATAAAATAAACATGTGTCAACCATTTTATTTAGCTCATTAATGAATGAGGGAACCAGAAAGGTATTACATTTGGTTCAAAGGACATTTCAAAGAGTAGACATATTTATATAGGCCACTAGGAACAGTGAAATGAATTTACTTGATACATATAAAACTGGTGTCTTCCAGAAGCAAAGTTAATTCAACTTCTACCAGACAGAATGTGAGTTTGTAGGGACAGGAAATATTTACATTACTATCGGTTTTCTACAAGGTAGTTTCTATCTTTACAGAGTTGTAAAATAACCCAGTCAAAGCAATGAAAGGCAGAGAGAACCCTGATGGATGAGACAGCAAAGATACCTACTACATTTCAGTCTTTCCCCTTTTTTATATAGGAGAAAGGAAGGCTATGGAGGAGAGAATGTGATCTTGTTTTACTAACCTCCTCTCTGAATATAAGCACCCAGAACTTGAAGCTTGGGAAAACTCATTTTTTTTTTATTAAACATATTTTTTATTTTAAAATTGTGGGGTACAGTTAAGGGTTAGGTATACAAATATGCATCATTCAGGCACCCTTGTTGATATGGGGTGCCCCCCATCCCCAGACAGATATTGACTAGCATTAATCCCATCACCCTTGCCCTCCCCCCCATAGATTCTCACCACTGTTGATCCTGGAAAAATCATTTCTATTAATAGCTTTTGCTTCTCTTGTTTCTGTTCCTGCTTTTGTAATTGATACTTTGTTGACAAGCTTTGAAGGAACATTTCTTCCCTTGGAACAATCAAGGTGGGAAGGACTTACTTCAAAGTTGGAGTAGTCTTGGCAAGGTCATTTGGAAGTATTGTTCTTGGAAAGATTCCCAGTTTTGCTCTTAAGAAAATGTGTATGGTTATAAGTACTTAAACATTACAAATTCTGAACCTCTGTAGTGGAACAGGTAAGATGTATAAATGTTTAGCCATTTCAAATAGTCAGATATGCATAATGCTTTCCAGACTATGTATCATTAAATATTAACCCATTTGTAAATTAAATTATGGATTTTATCAGTCTATGTTCTTCAATAAAAATGTTGCTTTCTCCAGGGGCCAAACCCATGATACAATTAAAACAATCTAAAATCCCACAGGGAAAATAAGACTCCCTTGTAGAACATTCTATCACCTTACTCTCAAAGTGTGGTCCCCAGAAGGGCACCTGTTAGAAATGCAGTATCTCAGGCTCACCTCAGAACTACCATATTGGGGTCTGTGTTTTATAAATAAATACTTAAAATGATTTGTGAACTTTTTCCATTTTAAGAAGTTCTGCCTCATATTATTACGTCCTGAAAGTCACTTCTAATGTCTTTAATGTTTTCACAGGAATTGCCTATCTGTTTGCCAAAGCTTATCTGGTTTCCAAGAAACCACAGTACCTGGACACATGTATCCGGTGTGGGGAACTCACGTGGCAGAAGGGCCTGCTAAAGAAGGGGCCAGGGATTTGCCATGGTGTAGCTGGCAGCGCCTATGTCTTCTTGCTGCTGTACCGGCTCACGGGAAACTCTAAATATATCTACCGAGCCCAAAGGTCAGTTGTTCTTCACATGTATTTTTTTGTTCAAAATTTTAATCTAATTGATGTTTCGCATAAGTAATAAAGTGCCAAGTTTTAAAAGTGCCATGCATATACCTCAACTGTGCTTTGTAGCCATGTAATTGACTTCCCTAGAGGCAGTTTCTTGGTTACCTTCACAAAGATACTCTGTGTACATACAGCATATAAGTATATATCTTATTCCGCTTGTGTTGCTATAAGGGAATATCTGAGCCTGGGTAATTTAAAAAGAAAAGAGGTTCATTTGGCTCATAGTTTTACAGGCTGTACAAAAAGCATTATGCCAATGTCTGTGGTAAGGACATAAGGAAGTTTCTATTCATTGGGGAGGGTGAAGAGGAGCTGATATGGGCAGAGATCACATGGTGAGAGAGGAGGCAAGAGAGAGTGGGAGAAGGGCCAGGCTCTTTTTAACAACCAGTTCTCCTGGGAACTAACAGAGTGAGGACAAACCCACCACCTAGAGCCTTAATCTATTCAGGAGGTATACACCCCCATGTCCCAAACACCTCCCACTAGGTCCCACCTCCAACATTGGGGATCATATTTCAACATGAGATTTGGAGGGTCAGATATTTAAATTATAGCAGTATATATAAATTTCTGTCTCTTTTTCTTTTACACATGGTAGCATCTTGTTATCTTAGTGATCACCAAACATCAGTACGCAAAAGAGCTACTTCAATCATTTTTTTTATCACATAGTATTACATTGTATGACTGAACCATAATTTATTTGACCAGTCCCATATTAGAGAGATAATTAAATTGTGTTCTATATTTTGCATTAGAAACAGTGCTGTGATGAATAACTTTGTACATATATCATTTGCACATGTATGAGTATAACTGAAAGATAAATTACTAAAAGTGGAATTGCTGAACCAAAGGATATGCATATTTGTAATCTTGACAGATAATGCTAAATTGCTCTCTACAGTTTATTTCCTGGAAACCTGAAATAGATTTTAATAGAGAGTACCCCTGATTGATAAAAATACCAGGAGGACTATGAATGAACTATAAATAACCTGGTAGAAACCACAGGTAGGGGCTTCTGAATGCAGAGTTGTATGAAACTGTCATTCTCTTTCAGGGGACTTGGAAGCTGTCTATGTCCATAAGTTTTTATAAGAAATATCGGTTTCCTGTGTGATGCTTAGATCTTCTAAGCTAGGGGGGACTCTCACAGCCACCCATGTGGTGTGGTTCCCTTGTATCTGAACTGTCACTTAGAGGGCGGAGCTAAGGTGTATCCTCTGTGCTGTTGTGAGGATTCCCACTGAAGGTATACAACTTATGACTATCAAATTTGTTGTGTGACCTTTAACAAGTCACTTAACTTGTTCTGTGCCTCAATTTCGCCCTTCATAAAATATTAAAAACAGTGCCTGCCTCATAGGGGTCTTGGGTAATTTAAATGAGTTAATATTTAAAAAATCATTTAGAAAAATGCCTGGTATGCAGTAACTGCATTGTAAGTATTCACTGTTACTATTACTACAAATCTGAAATTTTACCAATCCAGACTTTTTTCCATGCATAAATGTATGTTCATATATATGTATATGTGTATATGTGTTTTAATAAGCTCCTACTATTATGTATGTATATTAGTACTATAGATACGGTTAGCACCTTATAGTTTTAAATGAACAATTTTTAAGGAACATTTTTTATTCAGTTTGCATAGATCTATCTCATTGTTTTAAATGGCTATATAGTTATTCTACACAAATGTACCATAATTAATTTAACCTATTACTAAATAGTGGACACTTAGTATGTGTGCAGTCCTTACTGATACGAACAAAATTGCTGCAAATATCCAATATATTCATTTCTGTGCACTTGTGCAAGCATTTTTGGAGAAATTTTAAAATTGAAATAGGTTCATAGATATTTTTAAGTCTATAATTAGCCTGTCTTTATCATTTGCCCATCTCCCCACGTTGTGATACCTATATTAAGGAGTATAACTCTTTGCCAATATATGTTGTAAATATTTTCCTGCTTTGACATTTCTCTTTCAACTTTGTTTATAGTCTTTTGTCATGCCAAAGTTTTAAGTATTTTTCTTATCAAACTTGTCATACTTTTCTTCAGAATTTCTGGATTTTGTGTTATGCTTTAAAAGACCTTTTTCCTGCTTCAAGATTATAAGAAGATTAATTACATTGACTTCTTTATGATTTTATTTTAACATTTAAATTTTTGATTCAGCTTGAACTTACTTTTTTTAATGGTATCAAATGAGCATCTATCTTTGTTTAATGAAAAGCAAAATTCTCTAATAATCTATTGACCAGTTACTCCCTTGATTTGAAATTCCAATTTCATCATAAATTGAATTTTTAAAAATACTATGGATTCTGAACTTTCTTTTGTTTCATTTATTCTTTCAATTGTATTTTAGAATCAATTTGTCAGATTTTTTAAAAAATGTTATAAAAATTTGATTGGAATTTCATTACATTTGCAGGTTACTTAGTGAGAATTAACATCTTCTGAATATTGAGTTTCTCCATCCAGGAACATAATACAGCTTTTCATTCTTTTAAGTTTAAGCAAATGTCACTTAATAAAGTTTTGATCTCATGAAGAAGGTCTTGTATGTTTCTTGTAATTTTATTCCTGGGTATCTTATGTTTCCAGGTTTATGGTGAATAAAATTGTTTCCTCCATTATATTTTCCAGTCATTTATTACTGGAATTTAGGAAAGCTTTTAAAACATACATATTACTGTAGTTTATCAATTCTAATATATACTTTTTCATATAAATCTACTTTGTATAAGTATTTTATTTTTCATAAATATAATATGTCTGATTGCCCTAATGAACTCCATTACTGTTTCTGTTAGGTTTTTTATTAGATTTTCATTGTATTTTCTAAATAGACACACACATTATCTGCAAACAATGATTTTGTTACTTGCTTTCAGTTGTGTAACTTTTTTTTGTTGTTTTCTGTTGCATGGTTCCCCCTATAACAGTGCATCCCCACAACAAAGTTCAATAATATAAGGAATAGTAAACATCCTTGTTTTTATTGCTGATTTTACTAGGAATGTTTCTATGTTTTACCATGTACTTTTATATTCACTTCTTGTAATGTATATTATGACACATTAAGACATTATTTGAGGTAAGGCAGTGGCTTCGCATATGACTCAGAATAAGGCCAATCTGTCCTATGAATGAAAGCTACTGCATGATCTGGTCTCCCATTACCTCTCTGATGTCATCCCCTACTCTTTGTTCCTCCTGGTTCTCTCTTTTATTGTGGCTTCTTTATGATTCTATTAAGATGCCAGGTTCACTCTACCTCAAGGCCTTGGAAGTTGTGATTCCCTCCACTTTCTACATATATTTTCTAGCTCCCCCATTTCATTCAGAGCTTTACTCAAGTCATTTTCTCAGAAAGACCTTCCTAAGCCACTTTATTTAATATTCAATATTTAAAAAAACATAAAATATCCTTTACTATCGTTGCATGTATGCACTGAAGGGCAAATACTAACATATGTAAATCCTCTATTTGCAGCTCTGTTGTTTAGAAATTCTGTTACTATATTTGATTCATGTTTTCCTAATCTGTTTGACTGTTGTTTCCCAAATATAGCAAAATAAAGTCATTAGGGATAACATCTAGGCTAATAGAATTTCACCTTTGGGATAAATTTTGTCAGCAAATCTCATGTCCTAGAAAGTCTATTTAAAAGAATCAGAACAATACGTCTGTTTTTTTTGTTTGTTTGTTTCTTTACTAATTTTAATGTGTTTTTAATTCGTTTTTCTTTGTATAAATTTATGAGGTACAAGTATACTTTTGTTACATGCATGGATTGCATAGTGGTGAAGTCAGGACTTTTAGGGTATCCATCAATCAAATAATGTACATTAAGTATTTTCTGACTGGCCAGTACTAGTTTACAGAGTCATGGTTATAAGGTTCTGGGATCCAGGGTTCTTCAGACAAATTTCTCACTAATAAGTAGAAAACTGAAAATATCTGAGTATTGTTTGGGCATTGTGTGAACAAAAGTTATCTGAAAAGTAATTTGAAGGTGAAATACTTTATTTCAGTGAACAGTTTGCAAACTAGGGAGATACGGCCTTCTGTGTAAAACGAATGTGTTTTCAGAAAACAAAAAGAAGGTTTAGGTTTTATAGCAAAATTCTAGCCCAGAGTCAGGTCCTTTTATGTAAATGAAGGATTGAAACTCCCTAAGTTCTGATTGGTCAGTTCAGCTGAGGCTTGATCAGTTGATACAGCTGAGCTCCAATTGGCCAGGACAAGTGAGCTCTGAGCTCAGATGTGCTCTCATTGGTTGGTTTTCAAAGCCCAAATAAACAAAAACCAACCAAACAAAAAAAACTAAAAGTCTCTGTCAGATGTTTCTTTCAAATAGCCAGTGTGCATGGGGTGGGGTCAGGGGATGTTCTTGGCACCTACAACAGAAACTGGTTTGGAGAAAAGGAGGACCTGTGGTATTTTTACAACGTCGTTCTGAGAACACAGAGTACACAGAGTTTCCCTCACCTAGCTGTGACTGTCTGGTTTTGTTTTAACTTTGAGTACCTTTTTTCCACTGGTAGTCCATTTTTTTCCTTTCTTTTTCTTTTTCTTTTTTTGGTCTGCTAGGGGCATACTTTAAAATTTGCATTTTATGGCTTAGAGTACTGAAATTTTTCACTTCAAAGTTAAAATATGGTATAGCCCAAACTGGAGAGGCTTCATGTCAAACAGTATGTGCCTCCCTGAAATAAATATTACCTGATCATCACCTATTACTCTTTTAACATACAGTTAGATTTTATGGTTGCAGGAAATTATTTGGCAAACTTTTCATTTCCTTCTAAGTTTATTCATTTATTCAGATTTTTTACCTTTTATTTTTGGTAGTGAATAATTGCTACAAAACCATTTAGTTCATATGGATTTTTAAGCTTTTGACATAGAGCTCTACTAGTATTTTTCTATAGTATTTTAAATTTCCTATATCTCTGACTGTATGCGCTTTCTCATTTCTAATGCTTCTCCTTCTTGGTCTGATGCACCAGTGTTTTTCTATCTTATTCATTCATTTAAGGAACTGGCTCTTGGTTTTGCTTATTAGTTCTTTTTGTTTTTCTCTTTTGCCTTCTAAGTCATTATTTTTCTCCTTTATTTTTATTTTCCACTGTTACTTTCTTTTATTTTGTTATGTCCTAGAGTTTAAAAAATGCTTGATTAGAAAAAGTTCTATTTTTCTATTAATAATAATGATAACTCATAGAGCTATGTATTTTTCCTCTGTGTTCAATTTTTACCATAATCAATAGATTTTGATATGTAATGTTCAAGATCTTTCATTCTTTTTAGTTCTGTAATTACCATTCTGGCTTATGTTTTGACTGAGAATACTTTTAGAAAAATAAATTTGTTAGGTTAATTTTTGCACTGTTGGGTATATTTTTGAAGCCATCATTTTTACTTTAATGCCAACATTTTTCAGGAATACAGGTCAGAATGCAATGAAACTGCTACTCTCAAGTATTGCTGGTACTATTTTAAATTGCTATGTATCATTTAGAAATTATTTCAAAAAGCACAGAAAATATTTATCACATTGTTTTTAAGTGAAAAACTGTAGGATACCAAATTGTGAACACTTTAATAATGTGTAAAATATAATAAATAAATCAAGCATAAGGAGAAAAAAGTTCAGAAAAAGAGGGAGCAAAATTAACTGTGGGTTTCTTTTATAGTAGGGTGGAATGATTTTCTTTCTTTTAAAAAAATATTTTTTATAATAATTTTATGTAAAAAATGATATTTTCCACTTATTGAATGCTTGCTGTGTGCTCAGAGCCTAATATATTGTATCTTTAATCTTTATAGAAAATACTATGCAGTTCTAAACTTCACCATTTTAAAGTCAAATTAAGAAATTTGCCAAAGGTCATACAACATGAGATAATCAAATTTGCATATCTCAACCCCAAACCTCTTGCTGTTTCTAGTATTCCAGGGGTTCTTAATCTAGGACTTGAGAGGTTGTGTAAGAAGAACATTATATCTCAAACAGAACTGCAGCATTTCCTTCCATTCTGAATTTAGGTAATAAGTCACAGAATATTAATAACTGTGAATCTGCAATCAATAGAAATTATAGATATTCTCATATCATATTGCAACATACTGGCACATACATATACACACACCAACATACACACAATTTATTTATGTATTTATTTTTTGAGTTGGAGTCTCACTCGGTCGCCCAGACTGGAGTGCAGTGGCCACTCCCGGCCACGGCAGCCTCGACCTACTGGGCTCCGGCGATCCTTCCACCTCAGCCTTCCGAGTAGCCAGAATTACAGGCACGCGCTACCACGCCCGGCTGACTTTTTTATTTATTGTAGAGATGAGGTCTCGCTGCCCAGGCGGGCTCAGACATTCACTCACCTCAGCCTCCCAAAGGCGCGGGATTACAGGCTGAGCCACCGAGCCCGGTTACACACAAATATTTTTAGGCAACAGAGTATTCCTTAACTCCTCCCAAATCTAACTATAATTCATACTGTTGCAATATGATATGAGAATATCTATGATTTCTATTGATTGCAGATTCACAGCTATTAATATTCTGTGACTTATTACCTAAATTCAGAATGAAAGGAAATGCTGCAATATATTTTATTTGCATCGCTACTTAGAAATGCTAACAGTTATTAAACTCACTACTACATCTTGTTACTTAATGCATTAATAAAAAATTCATATGTTATTATATCACAAATCTGACTTAAACATTGTTTTCTAACTGTACTTTAATATAATTAATTTCCTTTAGAATCCTGTGTATTTTATTTTATGAACTTGAAAACATTTTTTTTTTAGATGTTCTGTCCAGACTGTCAAATGATCTGTAGCACTAAAAAGGCTAAGAACTTCCTGAAGGTAGACCACGATCCTGGTTATATAATTACAAATTTTGATTAACTCTTAATATGCATTATTATGCTATTTAAAAATTAAAATTCCAGCCGGGCTCGGTGGCTCAACCTGTAATCCCGCACCTTGGGAGGCTGAGGTGAGTGGATTGCCTGAGCCTGCGGGTTCAAGACCCGCCTGGGCAACTTGGTGAGACCTCATCTCTACAATGAATAAAAAATCAGCCGGGTGTGGTAGCACGCGCCTGTAGTTCCAGCTATGGAAGGCTGAGGCGGAAGGATCGCAGGAGCCCAGCAGGTCGAGGCTGTGGTGGCCGGCAGCAGCCACTGCACTCTAGTCTGGGCGACAGAGACTCCAACTCAAAAAAAAAAAAAAATTAAAATTCCATTTAGAAATTGTTGCATATTGAAAAAACAGTTGATAAAAAATTTGTGGGAAACAGACTTGCAATCTATTTTCTGCTATTTATTTTAAGCTGCCATCAAATAGTTACAAAAGTCCTAAAAAAAATAAAATAAGAAATTGTGTTTCATAGGACCCTCCTATGTAATAGCAATAATCTAAATTTATGGCAGTATCAGTTTTCAGACCTTACCAAGCTGTTAACTCCAGTCTCTGAATTAGTGTTTATTTTTGTCGTTGATGGGAATGAGTAGAGCAAGTCAGTAAAAAAGAGGACATAGGTGACAGCACCTTAAAAGGTGTAAGCTACTATACAAACATTACTTGTTATAAATATTCCAAATAAGATATGTGGCACATATAGGTAAAGGAAAAAAGTTCTTTCATGGAGATTTTAGAGGTCCATAATTTATTTTAAAGGTGGATGTCTTCAAAACAAACTGTCTTTCGGCTAAGTTTGTTATTTGATGTCATCATTATAAAAGGTTGCTCGCCTTTTCTCATTCATCTTATTCCTTTGTTTGCCCACAGCACAGATTGTATAAAATCTTGCCCATTTATTTTCAGTCTCTGTGCTTTGTCACATATAAATGAAACCTCATTCAGAAATAATATGCCTGCAGAAACACAGCATATTTACTTTTTTAAAGGAACAGTCATGTGTCAGTTTGCGGCTATTCAAGATACATAAAAGTAGGACAATTTATCTGTTGTCTTTTACTTTTAATTACTGGATGACAGAAGGAATGAAATTCTCAGAAAATACCAGACCACTTCACTTTGCAAACTCTGAAAATTGTTGTATTTGCTTGCCAACATAATCTATTGTGAAACATACACAATTATATAACAGATCCTTTTTCTTTCCTTTTCAGAGAAAAGGGCCTTCTTAAAATACCTAATTATATAATTCTAGAAAGAAAATCATGCTACACTTTCATTTAGAAGAGGAAGAAACAACTCAAGGACAGTAATACAGAAACGCTTGTGTTAAAATTATTCATATTTTCTTTTTCTTCTCTTAGGTTTGCTCAATTCTTATTTACCGAAGAGTTCAAGGCAGGTTCTCGGGTCCTTGAAAGTATATACAGCTTGTATGAAGGCTTCTCCGGGACAGTGTGCTTTCTGATTGATCTGCTGCAGCCCAATCAGGCTGAATTCCCTCTCTTCAGCGTCTTTGTTTAGAGGCTCCATCTTCCACTGTCGCCCTGTAGAAGTCCTCTGAGATTTCCTGAGCTTACCTGAGGCAGTTTCCACATGTCACATTCAACGGTATCACAACCATGAGCCTTAACATTGCTACCAGAAGGAAGGAAGCAGGCAAGTGAATGATGCAAGACTTGGAAGAGAACCTGCAAAACAAAGATACCACAACTCATCTAAAAACTGTAGAGATCTACTATTTCAGGGAATAGATGTGAAAACCAGGGATACACAGGAAAAGGGGAAAGAGAAATGATCTGTTTTTCAATCATGACAGAAAAAATTAAGTGTGGACTATGGTAATAAAATGCTAATACCTTTGCAATTGGAGAGAGAGTTTGGCCATTTGTGGGTGCCCTCTACTCCTAAATTTAGAAATAAAGACAATCGAAAACTGGAGTAATTGCCCAGCTGAAAACTGCTAGGAGAGATGAAATATCAGGTTGCTGAAGGATATAAAAGAAAACTCTTGGTTGTCCTATACCTTTACTTGAAATGTATGACTTTTACTGAATGGAGATATTTGCATATGAATCTATTTTGTATCATTACCCTGGGCACTTTAAGGAAATCATATCATAACTTAGTTCAAACACTAAAATTCTAAGTTTCTTTAGGCCTTATAACATCTCTTTTCCTGGTTCCTTTTTCTTTCCCAAAGCTCAATTAGGGTAGCAAAACTCATAAGCTAGCAAATACTGTAGCAAGTGTTGCTGTCAATCGTTTTTCTTCTTTGTAAGTGTGAGCTGTGTATTGTCTATTGTTAGTCATTTTTAAAATGCCTTCATGTATGTAGCCTTTATGAAGTTATTAGCTGAACTGGAAAAACTCTTGGGAAAAATCACTCATCTCGAAGATCAGGGTAACCACTACAAAGGCATGTTGTTTCTGCCTTTGATGGAATAGCGTGTCCCCTGGGACAGGGAGAAACAGGCTGAGAAAGGCACTGGTAATTGTGGAAACAATTTTATTCCATTTTTTATATCATTCAATGAAAAGATGAGTGAACTCCCTGGCTGATCACCTTACCTTCCAAGACACAGGGTACACTGAAAATTGGCTACAATACTCATTGCTGCCATATCAAATTCAACACTGCTGTAAACAAATAGAAGTTGTGTAACTGCTTCAAGTAAATAGTGATTTGCAGAACACTGTAGAAGCATGTGCCACGTCAATATGGAGGACGTGAGTTGATCCCTTTCCTATAATTTGATCACTGGCAATTCTATATAGCAGACTGAAGAGGAAATTGTGCACTGCATAAGACTTAATCATTTAGATATTTATTTAAATATACATGTATATATATAACCATATGTGTGTGTGTGTATTTTACATCTATTCCCATGTAAATTCAAGTACTTATTCTTTAGTTCAATAATTTCTAACTTGAATTATTGCTGGACTTTGGGAGGAGTTAAGGAATACTCTGTTGCCTAAAAATATTTGTGTGTATGTTGATGTGTGTATGTGCATGTGCCAGTATGTTTGTTTGTGTGCTCATTTTGGGGGAGAGAGGACCTCTAGAATTCACAAGATTCTCAAATAATCTGACCAAAGAAAGGTAAGAACCATCTTTGTGTACTTTGTGACACTACATGTTTGCACTCATTGAAATTAACTAGAATGAAATGATTTTGAAAAGCATGCACCATTTTAGCTTATTGTTCCATTTTCACATCCTCAGATACAAGCATATAAAAATGGCCTCTATTGTTCATCCATAAAAATGCTCAGTTTGTGGTAATACCACATAAATAGCAGCTTTCAGATGACTCCCAAAATTAGGTTCCAGAAGTTTTTTCATGAATGGGCAAGCACCTCGTGGAAAGCCTTAAGCAGGATTCCCTCTACAAAGTGGTCTCCATTTGAAATGGCAGTGATGCCTGCTTTTCACTATGTTGTTTTAAATTCCTTTCAAATGGTCCCTGTAAGCTGAAGATAATAACCATCCAATATACAAGAGCTTATGGAACACATACTTTTTTCCATTGTCCAAGCAACCCCTCCAGATGTGTTTGGTAATTACTCCAAATCTCACAGCTAGGAAAGCACACAAGAAGGATTCAAACCCAGGGTTTCACTTTCCATTTTATTTATTCAGTATTCTAGCCTAGAATCTAGGGATACAGCAGTGAACACAATACATACTCCTTTCTGTTTGCTGATCCTTCTGCTATTCATCCTTGAGACCTAAATCCTAAAGCACCGAGAAGTGATACTCTAGTTCTCATATCAGTTTCATTTCTAGGAACTTTACAAAAACCCAACCACTTTCTAGCTTACTTGCCCTTTAAAGTCTGCTAGAGTGGAAATAACATTGTTGTGCCGACCATTATTAAAAGACAACCCTTTTGGTGTGTCAAACCCTTTTGGATTTTTTCTTTATGAAATGACATCTCAGTAAGTTAGAAACAAGGATAAACTTGTTTAGCACTTAAATATGTTATTGAAACATTTCATTTTCCTGAAATAATAGAATTATTGGAGGGTCCTCGTCTATATTGTTTTTCCAAGAAGGAAAAAAAGAACTTTAAGTTTTGCTGTAGAAAAGTGTGACGTGCTACTTCTGATTTAATTCTTCAACTTGTTCCCTTCTATGTGGTAACATTCTTTATTTTTTTAGAAGTTATTTATTTATTTATTTTATTATAAAAATATGGGGTACAATTCAGGGTTATGTATACAAATATTAATTATGCAGGTACCCTTGTTGATGAGGTGTGCCCCTCCCTCCTCTAGCAGTTTCCCGCAACTGCCATTCCTACCCCCCTCCTCTGACAGTTTCCCATTACTGCCAAATGCTTTCTTATAGTATTATAATTGTTCAAGGTCCACTTATGAGTGAGAACATATGGTACTCTGTTCTTTGTTTCTGTGATAGATCATTCTTAATATAATACTTAAGTATGTTGTATCTTGAAAGCTATGGGAACATTTTACCAACACTAGTATAACTTTAATATTATTTACTATATGTGGTATGAACAATGATAAACCCTGAAGGTAACAGTGGAGGTGTTTGAGGATACATTGAAAGAGTCTCTAAACAGTAGGGAGACTGCATTATACTTTGATAGCAGGACGTTTTGAAAATTATTACAACTCTGTGTATTTTGTTTCATGAACAGAATTACGTACCTTGTCTTCCATCCCCCCCCCCCCAATATCTGGCCTTTATTTTGCCCAAACCTGTTTCAGTCATCAGTTTTTACTTTTTTTGTTCCACTTGCAGCTGAAAAAAGAGGTTTGACAGCATATTATTGTGCTGCTAATTGACTATGCTTTTAAGGTAATAATATTCGCTTACTGATAACTCAAGAAACATAAGGTTATTTTCTTGGTCTGTGTTTCACTGAAACTCTTTCTAGTGGCAGCTTATTTCTTTAACTTTTTTTGACATGCTGAGATTTTAATCAAGGTGGTTCTGAAATTGTTTCAAATCTCAAAAAGCAAATCTCAATAATTTCAATGTAACTAATGTGATTGTAATTTCTAACCACATTAAGTAAACACACAATTTGAAGGAAACACAGCAAAGCAAAGAGCCCTGTGTTGAAAATCTCAAAGTCTTGCTCTGCCATGTCCATGGGCCACTATAGTAATAGTAATAATCACCCTGTCCACTTCATAGGGTTGTCATAAAAGTTGTCAATGATAAAAATGGATATAAGAGAATTTTGCAATATGCAGTTTATTTATACAATTTAAAGGGATGCTATATTTTAACTACCAACTAAAATCATGCCCAGTTATGACTTCTAATAAGTATTTCAGCCAAATGGAATCGCCAAATGTGAATGCAGTGCTTGAGGTCTGGATGGCTAGGTGAGTAAAAACCAAGTGTACATTTAAAAATATTCTACCACCAGTCCTGACTATATCATTTGTGCCTCAAAAGTTCTAATTCACCAGGGCTTACAACCCTGCAATAGCCTGATTTAGCTCAGGAGTTCCTTTTAATGCAAATATTTATTTTGCTTGCTGGGAACAAATGATTTCAACGCCAGTAACTTATGTAAAAGAAAGCAGGCAGGCCAGATCTACAGAGAGAAAATGAAGTGGCAAATAAAGTAATTCTGGGGTGACATTGATCTGCACCGAGTGACATATAGTGATCAAAATATATTCTCATTGCATATATGAAGCCTTCCTTTATAGACCTTCCTTTAGGGACTTGGGTTATTTATTCAACACTGTCCCAAATTAATAGCTAAATCACTAAGCCTCAAATTTACCAAGCTCATGTAATCTTGTCATAAAATAGCCAAGGAAAGCAAATGAGAAGGCAGGCAAAGGGGTGGGTGGGGGAAGCTTGCCAAAGCTCAGCATCTCATTGTGAGCATTGTGAGTTGTGGGTGCATGTTTAATGCTGCTAACAACCAGTCCAGTCTTACCTTTGAGTTTTATTGCTTCCTGGAACCTCTAATCCCAGATCACCCCAGATTCAGCAGCTTCTTGTCCTCCTTCTTGTCTTTAAATAGTTCATTGTGATATGTTTTTTTTTTTTTTTTTTCTGTGTCTGCTTAATTGTGTGGCCTCCTTTTGCCTGGGAGGGCAGGTTTTTTCTTTACCTCTTCCATCCATGTTTGTTCTTAGCTAAAAGCTCAAGACAATGCGACTTGCCTTCCCTCTAGACAGAAGGGTGGATGTCAAGGTCAGCAGCTGCAGAAGTTGGGCCTAGTCTGTAGTTTGATCACAAGTCCAGGACAGCCCATCATTAATATGGCTATGCATAAGAATAGGGTGAAGACAGCATATATCCTGCTTCCTCTCCGCAAATAAACCTGATCATTTTATTTTTACTGTTATTACAAAAAATGCACAAAGTTGATGTTACATGCAATGTTTGGCCCTCATTCATTTTCTTTAAAAAAATTTTTTTTTTCACATGTTTTAAATTATAAAGATGTGGGGTACAATTCAGGGTTAGGTGTTCAAACGTTGATTATGCAGGTACCCTTCTTGATGAGGTGTGC